TAATGTTTTTGTACATTACATATTTGCTTCAATAAAAAAGTTTTACGTCTTAAAACGTTTGTGTCTTCAAAGTCAAGTCACTTGTATTGCCTCAAGTTTAAACATTAAGGCATGCACTAAAAAATAATAAAACGAGAAAGGACCCTGCAACCTAAAAGTCGTGAAAAAATAAATGTTCATAACCATTAAATCCTTATATTCCCGTTTAAGTAATATCGATGCAACAGTGATTGCGTCTTCTCGTTCAATATATTCCATTAAAAAAAACTGGAATATGCATAAAAAGCCAGGGTGTGTCTATCACCCACTACGCGAGGGTTAGTTAAACTTTACAGCCTGCTAATTGCAGAGCGGCCTCATGAACTTTCGTCTCCATTTGAACTACCTCCTAAGTTGTAACATTACCTACATCTATAACCAAAACTTTCACGTCACGTCTTCAGCCACAGTATTTTGCGCCCGTTTGTTTTCCATATCCTGTCTTGCATGGTACATATACAATAATAGTGTGCGTTGTATGCACAGAAGAGTGTCTGGGAGGAGAGGAGACGAATGCCGTTAGAGTTTTATGAGGTTAATGCGCGGAAACACAGCGGGGACGATGGGATGGAGACGAGTATAGTGGTTATATACAAACGCGCGCGAGCCGCGCGAGAACAAGCGAGGCACGTAACCAAGCTTGATGAATTATAAGGCATGATAAGGTCCTGCGCGTTAATTTATTATTCCCGTAATCATGTTTTCATTTTTTCCCTCAATTTTCCTTTTTCCCCGCGCGAGGTGTTTTAACACTAGCCCTGCGATAACATCCCTTTTAGATTACGCATTAATTAAACTTTGTTGGGAAGGCACTTTCGATACTGCATGTATGGCTCAATGAAGCATTGTAATGGCGATGTTATCACGACTGCAGACATTTTGCTGGAAATGGCCTCTATTTTTCTGCTGATGAGGATATTGACTGGGAGTTAATTCAGGCAATGATGTCTGAGGTATTGAGTAGTTCTTTGAAAAAAAATTACTTCCAGTAAAAAAAATTGACGTCTGATCAGTAGAAAAAGTACTTTTACCCAGTACCAAAGGGTTTCTGGGGAAAAGGAAAATCTTGTACTCCCGCGAAGTCACAAAGGAGCTAGATGCAAGTATCGTGCGTCAAGTACCGAGGTACTTGTCGCTAGTACTTTTGTTACTTGGGACTAGTAAAAAAAGGTCTTGGCCTGAGTACCTGGCTGGTTCTTTTCAAAAGTACCAACAGAACTCAATATAAGTAGCAATAGTACTCAAATCCAGAACTCATAATTTTCTTTAGGAATTCATTCAAGATTACAAATGAAGATCCAAATGTTGAAGCACAAGCGAACACAGAAAAATCTGAAGGTAAAATACGTTTTTGAAATGGTAATTCAGTAGTGAAGCGGTAAACCGAGTTAAGTCGATTTTGACTATTAGCTAGTTTTTGCTGAATATCTCGGAATCTAAGAGGGATAGCAAAATTTTCCTCATGACTTTTTTTATAACGCTCTATTGGCTCTACAAAAAAGGTCATGACAAAAATCTTTCTATCTCTTCTAGATTCCGAGATATTCGTCAAAAACTAGCCAATAGTAAAAATCGACTTAACTCGGTTTACCGCTTCGCTACTGAATTCATGTTTTCAAAAACGTAATTTACGAAGAATCAAAACCTTCGCAACTACTTGGGAATGTTTAGCGTTTTCAATACTACTTTCGATATTGCACGTTTGCCTTAATGAAGCATTGTAATGCTGATGTTATCACGACTGCGAACATTTTATTGAAAATGGCATCAATTTTTCTTCTCGCAATCGATCGAACGGACGCATTGCGAGCGCATCCTTGGCACAATCTCCTTTTCCTCGTGTGTGACTCCGCGAGGTGAATGCTATGAGATCGATACCAGTCAGAGTCTAGGTGCCTTTGAACCGAGAATTGCTGGTTGGGCGAGACAGGCGGGGGTGAATTACGGGGGGAAAAACTCGCGGAAAAAAGGGGGATAAAGATTTCAGGGGGATTCAATAAAGCTATCTTGGGGGATTTATACGCGTGCGGTGGTGGATTATGGCGACGTGAATGCCGAGTTATTTGCACCTAACGCATAACTGTTCAGTGAGCTGCGAGACATCGGCAATTATATGTTCAGTGGGAATGCGGGGGGCTGAACACCTATTCGAATGAGGCGATAATGTTCGCGGGGAAAAAAGCTGACGAGAAATTATCGAACAAGTCAAGTAATCGTGGGGCAAGCCCGATTTTTTTGCTTCCGGATGGAAGCTTTGTGATCGTCCAAATTTGTATGTCAAGTTTTTCTTCAATTGTTCGCTAATGAATGGATGGAATTGAGTATTTTCTCTTCAAATGTAGGGATTGTTGAGCCCTATCAATCGCCATTAACTAAAATTTAATTCATCAATTAGTTTTTTAATTTTCTAATTTTTTTTTGAAAATCGGTTGTCCGACGATAACTAAAAAAATGTTCTGAATTGTTTGAATGATGGCTTAAGAAATTTGTTTGGATGTCCTTTCGACCGAGTTCGAAGATGAAGGCGATTGCAATAATCGTTATTTTGATTTATTTGAGAATTTGCAAAAATTTTGTATTTTTTGAAAATCAGAATTCCGGGGATATCTTTGAATATCATGCTTCAAATGAATTCAATCATAGCTTAAGATGTTTCTTTCAATGCCATTCGTCGAAGTTAAAAGATGATTACGATAGCTATATTGGTTGATTTGATTTTTATGATGATTGTTGAAAATTTCGAATTTTTCATAAATTTCCCTGAAAGTGAGCTTTCCGATGGTTTCTTCAAATGCGATGTTTCAGATTCATTCAAGTATGTGTAAATAAAATTTTTCTATTAACATTTTATCGAAGGGCTGAGGGGAGAGGTAGAACCGTAAAAAATGCAATCGGTTGTATAGAAGAAAGGGATAATAAGAATAATGATGACGATAACATTCAACTAAGTTGAAAATAAGACAAAATTAGTTGAAAAGAAATCTTATATAATTTAATATAAAATGAAATAAACAATGAAGTCCATTCCATTCCATTAATTTAACGAAAAAAATTATTGACGCAACAGGAATAGCCGCTAACCCTCTACTCCATACATAACCAAAGATAATTGACGAGAAAAGCACGAGGAACAATTAGACACGTAACAACGAGCGACAACAGGATAAAATAACCATACATCGTGCCAACGACAAAGGGAAAACCGAACTCTATCACGATCCAAGTGGCAATAACGCCAAAAGAGAAGAGTGCGTAATGCATCTGTGAGCGATCGTAGCTGAAATAACGAGCCCAGTGGTGTATGCATCCCACAAATGGTCGAATGCAGCCGTGAGAGGCCGCCTGCCATTATCTCCAAAGACAGAAACCCCAGCTGATTTCGTATACCATGGTCACTGTGCACACGGGTGTCCACCTAAACCCAGTAACTCAGTGGTATAACTACTAAAAATATATGGGGAATACCTTCAGCGAACGTTCGCCTTCGTCTGCGGGTTAGAGTTTGCTGATAGCCTTCGTATGAATTTGTTTGGTTGGTTTTTTAGGAATTTAAAATGGAGGTGTCGATGGAGGCGAATCAAAATTGAAAGTATTTGTGGTTCCTAGTGGATGTTTACGGTAAACGATAAATTGCACTGAGGCGAGAACCGGTGAACAGGTTCATTTGAATCGAATAAAACCCTTCATTTGAAATTTTTTAATTCTGTAAAACAAAGTATTTAATTATGCCAAAGAAACAATTTATTAAATTAAAGAAAACAATTGATTTATTTTTGATGAATCGTTTATTAACATCAACTGAACAATTTAATAATTTCTAATGAAGAGTTTTTTTATTTGAAGAAATTCACATTTTCATGTATTTTGTGACAAAATAAATAAATTAAGTAATTAATAAAAATAAACAGAACATCAAATCAATAAAAAAATTAATTTGCATAAAAACTTAATTTTGTACTATTTAAATAAACTTCTTTATCTGTTTCAAATAAATCATTTTTCTGGATGTAGAAAATAATATAAGAAATGAGAGGTAACACTGCATTTTACCAGATAAATTATCTATTTGAATTAATTAAACATTATTCAAATGGAATAAATACTTTATTAATTAAAAATGATATAATTTTTTTTAATACCGCAGAGAATTAATGACTTATTTTAAAATACAGAAAAAATAGTGAAATGAATTTTCAATAACGCAAAAGGATGCGAATTGGAAACCGAGAAAAATCGATAGGTTCCCGCGTCCCAGCAACAAATCACTCGGCAGTCGATAATGCCCGTTGACCTCCCGCCGAGTGTATAAGGTCGCTGCAGGTGGAGCAGAGGTCGCTTAGATCGTTGGTACGTGTTATACACCCGGATAAGATTCATGTGAGAGAGTTCAACCCGCGTTGATGGTCAATATTCAATTTCAAAGTGATATCATTTTGTTACGCGAGAATAACCCGTCCCAACGGTGCAGCGGTGAAAATCGGATATACCGTGAACTGTAAGGAATACATTATCGTTACTGCTGTATTGCATGCCGAATTCTCAATGGAGAATGAGAGAAGCGTCGCGCTGTTGGGACGATAACTGGCGTCGTCCTTGCGCGGCTGTTGTATGAGTTTACGATAATGCGATTCTCGTAAAATCGCATGTGGGAAACGCCAAGAAAATCGAACGCCGAGGGCTTGTGGGGGTTTTGAGTCGTTGGGAATAATAATTCCGATGTAATAATGACTTCATTTTGAATTTTATTAGAACAATGAATCCGAATTCTTGATGCACAGACACTAATGGATAATAATTCATCGTAAATGGAGGGACCCTTATTCTACCCTTGTGACCCTTATTCTGACCCTTACGACCCTTATTCTGAGCTTCATGAGCCTTATTCTGACCCTCATGATTCTGATTTTTACCCTCATGACCCTCATCACCCTTAATCTTACCCTCGAGGCCCTTATTCTAACCCTCACGACCTTCATGACCTTTATGTCTCTTATTTTGACCCTCGTGATCCTTATTTTGACCCTTGCGACTCTTAATCTTGGAGTCTTAATTTCAAGCACCAAATTTTTATCATCAGGAGTCGTATTCTACTCTTGCGACCCTTAATCTGACCCTCGTGGCCCACATTCTGATCCTTGAGACCCTTACTTTAACCCTTGCGACCCTCATTCTCACCCTTACAACCATTAATCTGACCCTCGCGACCCAGAAGACCCTCGTGACACTTAATCTCACCCTCGAGACCCTTAATCTGACCCTCATGACCAATATTCTGATCCTCGAGACCCTTATTCTGACCTTCATAACTCTTATTTTGATCTTCGTCACCCTCATTTGGGCCCTTGCGACTATTAATTTTGGAGTCTTAATTTCGAGTACCAAATTTTTATCATCAAAGGTCGATCCCGATTTTTATAACATAGAGAGACTCTTACGGAATCACCAACTACTGTCACTAGCTTATATTGCCCGAATAAATCCATCCCAAAATCATCAATTCAAAAGTCAGAATCTCTTAGTCTTGTCCGATAAAATCAAATGAGTCAAATCAATTCCCAGCCCCGGCAAACGTGAAAATTCCACCGGAGAAAAAGGCGCATTCTACCCCATCAGCGTAAAACGATGAATGACTCACGTTACAATCGATATCAATCTCAAACCCGAGACATTCTTCAATGAGCCCAAGCAACCCAACTAATCTCCATACTCGGGATACCCAGTCATGCGTGAGTTTCCCAGATGGACAAGATGATTAAGTGATACTGTCTGCACTTAACCATGTTCACGGAAATCCTACCCCACGGGTCAACTGGATGTCGTCACCTTGGCAATTGGCTCAACGCTATCGTTTTTTTTTATCCGGGACATCCTTCTTCCCGAGCTGTCTACCTAATCGTGCGTGACTACCCGCCGTTCAGGGAAAAAAAACGGGGCAGCACACTTGGCACAACTATTGCACATATTCATCCAGCCTGGATGTTTCAACAGCTGACGAATCCCTGCGTTACCCATTTCATTTGCATCCGAACCGAAAGGTGGATTTCGTAAGGGTGGCTGCAACAAATACCGTATCAACTCCGTGGGACTACTTTTCAGTTGTTGATTTAGAACTTTGCACTGCAAAAACCAGGTGTCTGACAGCTATCGGAATTTAAGATGTCAGATGGTAGAAAACGTCTGAATCTTCAAGAGTGTCTGAAAATCTGACTAATGTCTGAAAATTTCAACCGCCGTTTCTGTCTGAAAATGATGGTAGACATTTTTTGTGTCTGAAAAATTTCAGGCATTCATTTTCAGATATTTTCCGTGTCTGAAATTCAGTTATTTATGAGCGATTCAAACATTTCACTATTAAGATATCTCACCTGATTCAGACGGCAAAGTCCATTCAAACATTAATTTTTAAGATATTTCTCATGTCTGAAAAGTTGACTCATCCACTGCAAAAACTAGGTGTCTGACAACCATCTAAATTTAAGGTGGCAAATGGCAAAAAACGTCTGAATCTTTAAAAGTGTCTGAAAATCTAACTGATGTCTGAAAATTTCAAACACCGCTTGTGTCTGAAACTGACGTCTGTATCTTAATTTCAGACATCTTGGGGTCTGAAATTGAAATGCCTCCATTGATTCAGACCCATTTTAATGTCTCAAAAGTGTCTACAAAATCGTCCCAAAAATGTTTGAAAAGTGTCTGCAAAAGTGTCTGAAATTCAGACATTAGTTTTCACAGTGAACTAGGTGTCTGACAACCATCTGAATTTAAGATGGCAAATGGCAAAAAACGTCTGAATCTTTAAAAGTGTCTGAAAATCTAACTGATGTCTGAAAATTTCAAACACCGCTTGTGCCTGAAACTGATGTCTGCATCTTAATTTCAGACGTCTTGGTGTCTGAAATTGAAATGTCTCCATTGATTCAAACACATTTTAATGTCTCAAAAGTGTCTCCAAAATCGTCCCAAAAAGTTTGAAAAGTGTCTACAAAAGTCTTTGAAATTCAGATATTAGTTTTCGCAGTGAACTAGGTGCCTGACAACCATCTGAATTTAAGATGGCAAATGGCAAAAAACGTCTGAATCTTTAAAAGTGTCTGAAAATCTAACTGATGTCTGAAAATTTCAAACACCACTTGTGTCTGAAACTGATGTCTGCATCTTAATTTCAGACGTCTTGGTGTCTGAAATTGAAATGTCTCCATTGATTCAGACAAATTTTAATGTCTCAAAAGTGTCTACAAAATCGTCCCAAAAGTGTTTGAAAAGTGTCTACAAAAGTCTTTGAAATTCAGATATTAGTTTTCGCAGTGAACTAGGTGCCTGACAACCATCTGAATTTAAGATGGCAAATGGCAAAAAACGTCTGAATCTTTAAGTGTCTGAAAATCGAACTGATGTCTGAAAATTTCAAACACCACTTGTGTCTGAAACTGATGTCTGCATCTTAATTTCAGACATCTTGGTGTCTGAAATTGAAATGTCTCCATTGATTCAGACAAATTTTAATGTCTCAAAAGTGTCTACAAAATCGTCCCAAAAGTGTTTGAAAAGTGTCTACAAAAGTCTTTGAAATTCAGATATTAGTTTTCGCAGTGAACTAGGTGCCTGACAACCATCTGAATTTAAGATGGCAAATGGCAAAAAACGTCTGAATCTTTAAGTGTCTGAAAATCGAACTGATGTCTGAAAATTTCAAACACCACTTGTGTCTGAAACTGATGTCTGCATCTTAATTTCAGACATCTTGGTGTCTGAAATTGAAATGTCTCCATTGATTCAGACCNCGTTTCTGTCTGAAAATGATGGTAGACATTTTTTGTGTCTGAAAAATTTCAGGCATTCATTTTCAGATATTTTCCGTGTCTGAAATTCACCTGATTCAGACGGCAAAGTCCATTCAAACATTAATTTTTAAGATATTTCTCATGTCTGAAAAGTTGACTCATCCACTGCAAAAACTAGGTGTCTGACAACCATCTAAATTTAAGGTGGCAAATGGCAAAAAACGTCTGAATCTTTAAAAGTGTCTGAAAATCTAACTGATGTCTGAAAATTTCAAACACCGCTTGTGTCTGAAACTGATGTCTGCATCTTAATTTCAGACGTCTTGGTGTCTGAAATTGAAATGTCTCCATTGATTCAGACAAATTTTAATGTCTCAAAAGTGTCTCCAAAATCGTCCCAAAAGTGTTTGAAAAGTGTCTACAAAAGTCTTTGAAATTCAGATATTAGTTTTCGCAGTGAACTAGGTGCCTGACAACCATCTGAATTTAAGATGGCAAATGGCAAAAAACGTCTGAATCTTTAAGTGTCTGAAAATCGAACTGATGTCTGAAAATTTCAAACACCACTTGTGTCTGAAACTGATGTCTGCATCTTAATTTCAGACATCTTGGTGTCTGAAATTGAAATGTCTCCATTGATTCAGACCCATTTTAATGTCTCAAAAGTGTCTACAAAATCGTCCCAAAAGTGTTTGAAAAGTGTCTACAAAAATCTTTGAAATTCAGATATTAGTTTTCGCAGTGTAAATAATCGAATATTTCGCCTGCTCGGGGAAAGAGCGATCGAGATGATCGAGCCACCGGCTCGGGGAAGGCGCGGCTTGTGTAAATCCAGCGCCGGGGGGGGGGGGGGGGGGAATCCAACAAAGGCACAGCTACACACCAGGATTTAGAGTCGCCCCGATCGTCTTCAAGGACTCAAGCCGTCGCCACTCACTCGTATTTCTCCACATCTCCCGTACGAACACCAGCAGAACTGGTACATCTCCTCTCCATATTCATATGTGATCCGACCCACAGTCTGACATTCATTTAACCGTTTTATTTAATTGCGAGTCACCGGGTAATTATCGCGCATGAACTCGGGTATTGTCCGACGGGGCGATGGACAGATATGCGATTTAAAAAATCTTAATGCCGAGGTGATTCCGTCGACTCATTGTGGGTCTAGTTGTACACAGACTCTCCCGTTATGGAGTGATGATATGGGGAGAGAAAAATGTGAAAATACGGGAAAAATTGATGCGTCACCTTGTTTTTCCACTAGGGTTTCTCTGCCTACCATCATTAGGCATTAATTAAAACGAACCGAAAGAGAAAAGTCACCAACTCGCCAAAAGAAAGGGTCGTTTTTTGTCGTTCACAGTTGTACTTAATATAATTTTTGTTGTGCACATGAGAAATCAATTTTAGCCGCGTAGCAAATTTATTCATATTCAGAAGGTCTCCGAAAGTTTAACCAATTTTAATTATTTATTTCTAAACATGAAATATTCAGAAGAAAAAATTCTGCGCAAAATGTAACTTCAAAGACGGTGAATACTCATGATGTTTTTCAAATTTATCTCACGCAATTTAATTGACAAATTTAATGATTAAAAATGGATGCTTCGATATCCTCAGTTTCAGACTCCTTTTTCTAGTATTGGTTACAGTAGCGGGAGTAATCCGAAGGCTGCAGGTTCAAATCCCCTCACGGGTAAAATCCTTGATTCCATTGCAACTCCCCTCAAGAATATATTCAAGTGCTAAAGCTCTCAAATAAGTATGCGAAACACGTTAAACAAATCACTGTAAAATGCCTGATATCAGATACCAGTGATCGATTGAATTTTCACTCGATGTGCAGTTGTCGACGAAGATCGGAATGGGGTTGGCTGATCCCGGTTAAAGAGTGTAACGCAACTGGACTTAACATCGCGTTGAAAGTTAATAAGTATTCAGCGGGAAGTATTGAGGAGTTTAAATTCGCATGCTCCATGATCGAGTTTAATGCGTAAATCGTGGGTAATACACTTTGTGGGCGGAGTCGGTGGATCGTAAAAATATATTATTTGATTTACGATACATTACATGCGAAACATGCCACCAGCGTAATTATCACACTTCTGTGGAGTTGAGAAGAGAGGAAAAAAAAGACACTCCGAGATGAGCGAAGAAAGTCTCGGGGCTAAAGGCTGACCGAGTGTAATTTTTCTCGATTTGCTTGTGCGCCTCTCGATGCGTCTGATGCACTCCTTTCTTCGTCATTTGACGTTTGTCCTTTTAAACATTCTTTATTTTCGTATCTGATAGAATACACACGGTTGGGGACCCTTGAAACGTGGGAAGTTGCGCGCACGAGGCCACGGGCTCTTGATATTGCCTTTTACAGCAAAACTACTAAGCTCATTCCATCGGTAATAAGTAACGCCGCAGCCTTGGGGAGACTCGCAATCTTGTGCAACTATGATCGCGGCTAACCCTTGGGACCTATGAATAACACCAGAGAAATAGAAATGACGATCGTGGTAAATGTACATATTATTAGGTGATTTTTTTTGTTTCTCTACACTACAAAAACCAGGTGTCGGACCGCTATCTGAATTTAAGATGTCAGATGGTAAAAAACGATCTTTTCCGCAATTCCGGAGCGAAATGTGGTCGTAGGAAATTTTACGGAACTGTCACGGAATTTTTCCAGAGCGTTCCGTAATTTTTATCTGAATCTCCTGTGAAAAATTACGATACCGTCACTTAAATTTTCTGCGTCGATTCCGTAATCGGTGAGTGAATTCTGAGTTCCGTAATTTTTACTGAATATTTCTCTCCGTGTGAAAATTTCAACCACCGCTTCTGTCTGAAAATGATGGTAGACATTTTTTGCGTCTGAAAAATTTCAGATATTTTCTGTGTCTGAAATTCAGTTGTTTATGAGCGATTCAAACATGTCACTATTACGATATCTCACCTCATTCAGACGGCAAAGTCCATTCAAACATTAATTTTTAAGATATTTC